CCGGAATGATGATCCCTAAAAGGACAACAAGGAATGTTAGAAATATTCACGGGTAAGGAAACACACACCATTTGGATATGAAGCTCAATTAATTGGGTAAATAATAAACGGTCAGGCTCAAAGTGTCTTTTCCTAAAGGACTTATTCAGGTCAAATGGGAACTTTGTTAATTCATTCAATTGGTGACTAATGCCTTCATCCTTTCAACAACTAAATTATAGTGCAATCAATTTAAGCCTGAACACTTCAAGGACATTCTAAAAGCATAGTCAAAACACTAGTCAGCTCACAAAGACACAGTTTAAAGAAACATTTTTAAAAAAATTTGACATGACTTTCCTATGAATATACAATTAACACCTGCGCAATGCTAACTTTAATAATCATATGTAACAACTACTGCCCGAATGCCCAATTCACTCTCCCACACTTAAACTTTGGCATCGCCCTCGCTGGCAAAAAAAGCACCATGCACAAGGGGGTAAAGAGGAAAAGGTCACGCGTGCTCAAAATCAACTCAAGTCATTAATACAAAAGAGAGTAAAAGAGTTAAAGGAACTTCCCTACGGCGCTGATCGGTGTAGATCAAAACTGGGTCAAATGAACTTGGCGTATCCTCCAAAAAGGTTGACTTGTAGGCTGCAAACATCAATCAAACACAAAATCCAAGCAAAATAAAGACAGAGAAAAGAGTTGATCGTGAGTGAGTGTCAGAGGGCAAAATAGGGGTACAATCATCCAATAATAATTAGAAATACACAGGCTAGAGGAGGATATCTAAAATTATCTACTGCTTCGGAGATGGAGGAGGCGGATATCCCTTAAAGAACGAGCGCCAGCTATCCTCCAACGAAGTGAGGCGCTCATCAATATGGGTGTACTGGGACCGCAACTCTGTATAGTGCATAGCCTAATCCTCCCTCATCTCTCTGTAAAAATCCTGCTGCTCAAACCTCATCTGATCAAACCTCTCATGCTGTTCTGTAGATAGCTGACGGTAAATGGCGTCCTGGTGCGCATGGATCCCCGCCCAAGTATCAGGAAAAGTCATCCATAGGGCACATAGGGCATGTCCTGTGCAACGTCATCCATCTCCTCATCACTCGCCTCATCATTGTGCTCATCGTGGCTTGCCCTGCCACTCCTAATAATCTGAATACCACCGTGGTGCGGTGCTCCCTGTACACCTGTTGCTGCTGCATCTGCCTGCTCAATCTCTCTCTGTAATGTAGCCCCAAATCCCGTGTTCATGGACGGGAGAATGGTCAACGGAAGAAAGCTAGAAGATACCTCCATATTTCTGAACTGATCTCCATATCCCATCCCGTGCAGAATACGTGTAATGTACAGACCGACGTAAAGGGCCTGAATGTGGTTCGTGGACTGTCGATGGAAAAGGCTAGCAATGATAGAGCCCATGTAGGGCTTCTTGTCGTGAACCATGCAGTAGAGGCACAAAAGGTCAGTCGTAGAAACTTTGGCCCCGACCTCGGCCCTCCCGGTCACTGTAGAAGCAAAGAGTGCGTGAATCACCCGGAACTTCTGAGGGTAAAGAAGGGTGGTTGGGGTCTCCCGGGGCTTATAAGTTCTGCGCTCTCTGCTAATTGACTCTCAAAAAGCCTGTCTGTTCACGTGAGGGGAAAGGTCACAAAGGCCAATCTCATCCCGTTTTTCTATCTCAGCATCATTGAAGCCCAAGTAGTGCTCAATCCTACTAAGAGAAGTGTCAAGCTTATGTTTAATGGCCTGGAATTTGATTACAGGTTGGTAAAAGTCCTTTTTCGGTATGAGCTTTGAGAGGTCGATTGTTGCTAGCACCTCACATGTTACTTCCTTGTAGTCGGCTCTTGGATGCCGAAAAATAAATGTTGCCACCAACCTCTTCGTATCAAATGCATCACTTCATCCCTCAGTGTGGGCTCGGCTGAAATCAGGGTGGGCTCATCCGGGTGGTACATTGTACCCACCTTTGTCTTGAGCTCCAAATATGCCATCATCTGCTCATATTTATCGAACTGAGGTTGGTAGTGTGTGCCTCGTGCGCCTTGTGAGCGGCTAGAGCTAGCATCTTCGATGTGAGTAGAGCGCGTGGAGTTCTTTGTGCGAGTCATCTACAAAAACAGTTGAAACAGAGGAATTCCAGCGGGGGTTCAAAGTGTTAGAATTAAGCACAAAAATACAAAGAGTATAGCCCCATCAGCAACAATGATCCACCAACCTCTAAATATGCCAAAAGAAAACCCAAGTTTAACCAGAATAGTCAAAAACTTGGATTTTAATTCAAGAAAAATTCTTTGATTACAATCCAAATTTCCAACGACACACGGTATAAACAAGGTCAAAAGAAATCATGATGCATCACAATAAATTCTTAGATTAGAGTTATTCCCAAATGAATTCTTAAAGATGTCAAAATTGGAGAAAACCCCAAATTCTCAAGTTGGACAAAGTTTAGCTTCAAAATTGGGAGTTCATGCTCAAATATCATCTCAAGCACCAATTCAATCATCAATTTGAGCAAAGAAATCAAAACCCCCAATTTGTATTTCATTCAACAAAGTTCAACCCTAAATTGGCTAAATTAGCTCAAAAATTAGGGATTTCAAACAAAAGAGGTAAAGTCATACACATAGAACATCAATAACATCAATTCAAGCCTCAATTTGAACAAAGAAATCAAAATCCCTAACATTTGCGCACATGCATTTTTCAGATTTTTCCAACCTTGAAGGAACTCCATTAATTGAGAAGAGAGGAAAGAGAAGATTACCTTGCTGAACGTAGAGGGGAGAGAAAGAAGACGGCGGTGGTCGGTGTTTGCCGGTGGGAGGTCCGGTGGTGCGCGGTGGTGCTGGTCGATGGGCTCTCAAAATCGCAGGGGGGGTTCGGCTCTGGTCGCTGGCTCTGGTCGCGTAAGAGAGAAGGGGGAATAGGGTTTTTTGGCTGGGTTATGCTTTTACACGCGGGGTATTCTCAGAAATTTCGCAAGGCACGGCGTGCCTAACGTCCTGGCACGACCGTGCTTGGCCTCCAGTAGCCAAATCTCTCGCTTCTTATCAGGCACAGCATGCCTAACTACCAGGCACGACCATGCCTGGCCTCCAGTAGCTATCCTCTTTCAAAGCCGTTCACGACTTGCCAAAGTAAGATCCTTATTCAGCGTTTTCAAGGCCCAGTAGGCCTTATGTTCAATCTTTCAATCTCTATCGGAAGGTGGCATGCCTTCCCATAAACTAAGTGAAATGGAGTAGTGCCAATGGGTGTCTTATACACTGTACGCAATGCCCACAACGCATCATCTAACTTATCAGACCAATCCTTCCTATGGGTCTCAACGGTCTTCTCAAGGATGATCTTGATGTCCCTATTTGAATTCTCAACCTGACCATTAGTTTCAGGGTGATAAGGGATGCCCCCTGTATGAGTGACCTCGTACTTGCCAGATCGTGAGTCATGGGACCATTCCTAAAATGGGTGCCCCTATCACTTATCAAAACTCTTGGCACTCCAAATCTAGAAAACAACTTCTTCAGAAAACGAATCACAACTCTAGCATCATTCGTGGGTAAAGCTTCAACCTCAACCCACTTAGAAACATAATCCACAACAACCACAATGAATTTATTACCTTTAGAACCCGGAAACGGCCCCATGAAGTCAATGCCCCAAACATCAAATACTTCACAAGCCAAAATAAAATTCGAGGGCATCTTTAAACAAAGTGGGCCAGAAGAAACCACATTCCAACACCTTACGAGCTGTCCAATTAAAAGAATAGTGTCCCCCAGTCGGTCCGGAGTGACAATGTTTAAGAATTTCAATTACTTCATTAAGGGGAACAGATCTTCTAACAACCTGATCAGCACAAATACGAAACAAATATGGCTCCTCCCAGAAATAATACTTAAGATCAGCAAAAAATTTCCTTCGTTGATGAGGTGTGTAATCAGAAGGAACAACACCCCCAACAAGATAGTTGGCGATGTCAGAAAACCAAGGCACCTCATCAACGATACGCAAAAGTCTCTCATCAGGAAAAATGTCCTCTATGTCTCTCTCACTCAAGGAATCAAGAAAGAGGTTCTCTAACCTACTCAAATGATCAGCTGCTAAATTCTCAGCCCCTTTCTTGTCCCTTATCTCAATATCGAACTCCTGGAGTAGTAATATCCACTGAATCAATCTAGGCTTAGTATCCACTTTTTGCTAAATTCTCAACCCCTTTCTTGTCCCTTACTTCTCGACACCTAACCAGGACTTTCTTCAAATTCTCTAAGCACTCATCTATAAAAACCTCCATAAACTTCCTAATAAAATCCCCAAAAATAGCAAGCATGCATCTCATAAAGGTAGCAGAGGCATTACATAATCCAAACGCCATCCTCCGATAAGCAAAGGTACCGAATGGACATGTGAAAGTGGTCTTATCCTGGTCCTCAGGGGCTATGGGATCTGGAAGTATCCCGACAAGGAAACAGTAAAACCTATGACTTTACCTCTTTTGTTTGAAATCCCTAATTTTTGAGCTAATTTAGCAATTTAGGGTTGAACTTTGTTGAATGAAATACAAATTGGGGGTTTTGATTTCTTTGCTCAAATTGATGATTGAATTGGTGCTTGAGATGATATTTGAGCATGAACTCCCAATTTTGAAGCTAAACTTTGTCCAACTTGAGAATTTTGGGTTTTTCCCCAATTTTGACATCTTTGGGAATTCATTTGGGAATAACTCTAATCTAAGAATTTGTTGTGATACCTCATGCTTTCTTTTGACCTTGTTTATACCGTGTGTCGTTGAAAATTTGGATTGTAATCAAATAATTTTTCTTTACTTAAAATTCATGTTTTTGAGGATTCTGGTTAAACTTGAGTTTTCTTTTGGCATATTTAGATGTTGGTGGATCATTGTTGCTGATGGGGATATACTCTTTGTATTTTTGTGATTAATTCTAACACTTTAAAGCCCCGTTGAAATTCTTCTGTTTCAACTGTTTTTGTAGATGGCTCGCACAAAGAACTCCACGCGCTCTACTCACACCGAAGCTGCTAGATCTAGCCGCTCATAAGGCGCACGAGGCGCACACTATCAGCCCCAGTTCGATAAAGATGAGCATATGATGGCATACTTGGAGCTCAAGACAAAGGTGGGTACAATGTACCACCCGGATGAGCCCACCCTGATTTCAGTCGAGCCCACACTGAGGGATGAAGTGATGCATTTGATACGAAGAGGTTGGTGGCAATATTTATTTTTTCGGCATCCAAGAGCCGACATACAAGGAAGTAACATGTGAGGTGCTAGCAACAATCGACCTCCCAAAGCTCATACCGAAAAAAGACTTTTACCAACATGTAATCAAATTCCAGACCTTTGAAGACAAGCTTGACACTTCTCTTAGTCGGATTGAGCACTACTTGGGCTTCGATGATGCTGAGATAGAAAAACGGGATGAGATTGACCTTTGTGACCTTCCCCCTCACGTGAACAGACAGGCTTTTTGAGAGTCAATTAGCAGAGGCGCAGAACTTATAAGACCCGGGAGACCCCGACCCCCCTTCTTTACCCTCGGAAGTACCGGGTCATTCACGCACTCCTTGCTTCTATCGTGACCGGGAGGGCCGAGGTCGGGGCCAAAGTTTCTACGACTGACCTTTTGTGCCTCTACTGCATGGTTCACGACAAGAAGCCCTGCATGGGCTCTATCATTGCTAGTATTTTCCATCGACAGTCCATGAACCACATTCAGGTCCTTTACACCGGTTCGTACATTACACGTATTCTGTACGGGATGGGATATGGAGACCAGTTCAGAAATATGGAGGTATCTTCTAGCTTTCTTCCGTTGACCATTCTCCCGTCCATGAACACGGGACTTGGGGCTAGATTACAGAGAGAGACTGAGCAGACAGAGGCAGCAGCAACAGCAGGTGTACAGGGAGTACCGCACCGGGGTGGTATTCAGATTATTAAGGGTGGCGGGGCAAGCCACGATGATGAGGCGAGTGATGAGGAGATGGATGACGCTGCACAGGACATGCCCTATGTGCCACCCCCCTTTGGCCAGACTTTTCCTGATACTTGGGGCGGGAATGCATGCGCACCAGGACGCCATTTACCGTCAGCTATCTACAGAGCAGCATGAGAGGTTTGATCAGATGAGGTTTGAGCAACAGGATTTTTACAGAGAGATGAGGGAGGATCAGGCTATGCACTATGCCTCACATCGTTGGAGGATAGCTGGCGCTCGTTCTATGAAGGATATCCGCCTCCCCCCCAATTGAGCAGTAAATAGTTTTAGATGTCCTCCTCTAGCCTGTGTATTTCTGATTATTATTGGATGACTGTACCCCTATTTTTCCCTCTCACACTCACTCACGATCAACTCTGAATGCATCAAGTCTTTGTTAGGATGTTCCAAACTCTAAAAAAAAGGACTGTTTATTACCATTCACCACCGCCTTCACAAGTCCTTCTGATCGGTAGCTAGTTTATTTGTGTATGATGTCACTACTTTGAGGATGTTGTGAATAATTTTGTCATTTATTTTAGCTAGAGTACAAAGATGTAGTTTAGGGAAGAATTTTCTTGATTTAGTTTGTCTGTTATGTGAGTATCCCTTTAACTACGTGTGCATGCTAATTGTTTTGATCCCGTGTGGTGATTATCGTAAGTCCCGTTCAGTTTGCTTGAGGACAAACAAAGGCTTAAGTGTGGGGGAATCTGATAAGTCCGTATTTAGACACACATTTGATGCGTGTTGAGATCAGCTTTTGATGGTTTTCCTAGCTTTAAGGTGTTACAAGTCTCAATTTTAGCTCAAGTTATGTTTACCGTGCGTTGGTTTGAGTTTTGTGTCATTTGGAGTCAAAATCGGGATTTGAGAGTTCGGCACCGGCGCTTGAGAAGAAATCGGAATGAGTTGAGAAGCATTCGAGAGTGATTTGAGAGCTTTGGAGGTCACCGGGAGGTTCACGATGAAGATTTGAAGGAAAAAAAGCTCTAGGATTGGCTACGGGATCAAAAGAAGATGAATGAAGCTTGAAATCGACGATCAGGATGACCTTCTGTCAATCGTTCAAGCATATCTCTTTGTAGAAATATCCAATGTACAAGATTCAAGTTCCATATGAAAGCTAACTTCAAGGGCTATAAATCATATGAAGACACATTTGCAAGAATCTGAGAGGGAAAAAAAGGTGAAAACAGATGATCCCTGTTGCGATTTCAGAATGCGGTATTCCACCGTTTTGATCATATCTCTTGATTGAATGATTCAAATCGAATTCGGCAAGTTGTGGTCGATAGAGGACTTCATTATCTACAACTTTCATGAAGAAAGTTTTGTCAAATTCGGAAAGGAAGCACGCGAGACGAGCGCGCGAAGAATGCACGGAAGCCCCGGGGAAGAAACAAGCCAGGCATGGTCGTGCCTATAGAAGAAATGGGTACCCAGCCTCTGGAGGTCAGGCACGGTCGTGCCTGGCCCCTAGGCACGACGTGCCTGACTCCGGAAAATCCTATTTTCGCTCGGATTACCTCGTTTTTGTCCCAGCTCAGCCCAAACTCACCTGTTTTCTATAAATAAGGCATCTATTATCCTGTTTAAGGGTTATGAACATTATGGAGAGACCTAGGGACGATTTTTATCTGCGTTTTACGTTATTTTACATTTTTACTCCAAGAACTTGAGATTCTTTGTAGGTTCATTTTTTTTAATTAATGACAATTACTTCTATTCCTCCCAATTCTATTGATTCTTTAATTATGAATTGTGAGTAGTTTAATTAGGGATTTGGGGTTGATGAAGGGGTTGATCATGATGTATGACTAGATTCTTGATGGATTAATTGCATGAATGCCGTTTAATTTGTGTTATAATAATTTAACTGATATCTCTTATAACCTAGAACGCGCGCTAGAATTACAATTGCTTGTAGAATAAGTTAAGAGAGATCTAATTTATTTTAAGACACATTCATACACACTTAATCTTTCGCTAAGAGATTAGTAGCGATTAAGGGGCCGTATGTTCGCTCGTCTTGGCAATAATTTAGGATTATGTCGCATGAGAGATCAGCCTGGTTCTCTAAATTATTGTACTCTATGCCGTGAGAGCGGTAAGAACTTAGTAATGATTAACTAGGCTCAGTTAAATTAATTTCATGTAATTAGGCTTGTTCTGCCAGAAATCTGGTTACCCCGAAATCATTCTTGTTCCCTTCGTCGTTAATTGAGAAGAAACCAATCTTTTATTTTAATCGTTTATTCGCATTAGTTTAATTTTATTCACCAAATAATCTCGCACAATTGCATTTATTTTATTTATTTCTTTTTAATTGCTGAATTTAGTTAATCTTTAACTCCCTTTTGTCTGTCCCTGTGGAGACGATACTCGTACTTTCAACCACTTTACTACATCAGTTTCAAGTGCGGGAAAACTCACATCCATATTTCATTTTTAATTGTAGTTGGAAGTATTATCAAGTAGTGATTAAAATCTTATAACCATTGATCGAGGATTAGTACTACGTACTATACTACAATAGCAGTTCTGATTTTGTCGGCACACGTGCTTCTTCCAGGAAAAATGGACTTCTGGATGGCCCAATTGAGCGAGCTACCGGGCTCGGGGGCATTGGCAGTTGACTCCAGCAGCTCAAGTGGGCAGGCAGCTATTTCGGCCATGGTTGGTGTGAACTTTAAACTTTGTTCCGGTGGAAATACAGATGCAATAATCCCTCACGCGAACGGTTTTGATATTTTTGTCTAGGGAAAACTGTCAAATAGGTCCTCGAACTTTCATAAAAAAGTCAATTAAGTCCTTCTATAGGAGACTTTGTCCGGTCGTCGTGATTTGGGGCGGTTCCCGGTGGAATTTTTTGATGAATTTTTTTGAGCATCTTATTCATCAAGTCTAGTTTACTCATACCAAATTTCAGCTAAAAATTTAATCGGGAGTGCAATCAAATTAATTCGAGAACGCAAAAATGCGCAGTTATCTTCAAGAATTAATTTGAATGTGTTCCCGATTGAATGTTTAGCTGAAATTTGGTATGAGTAAACTAGACTTGGTGAATAAGATGCTAAAAACAATTCATCAAAAAATTCTACCGGGAACTGCCCCAAATCGCGACGGCCGGACAGAACCTCCTATAAAAGGACTTAATTGACCTTTTTATGAAAGTTCGAGGACCTATTTGACAGTTTTCCCTTTTATCTAAAGCAAATCTTTTGATTTCTCTATCCTTGATAGCAATTATATTTGTTTATCTAAACTGAAGTGTGGAATTACATTTGCTATTGAGTTTGATCATGAAGGGGTTACTCAATTGAAATAATTCATTCTCAAGTTATTTTTGGCAATTGGTCTCAAGAATTCATTCTTAAGAATTCATTCTCAAGTTTGATCTTGAAGGGGTTACCAGACTTGAGTTGAAGAATTCTTTTCTCATTATTCATCAAGCTACTTAGTTTGGTGGCAGGGGCGGACCCATGAAGTATATATTGGGGGTCATAGACCATTGGTGTATTTAGATTTTTTTTTGTTCAATAGTGACCAATTTATACTAGAACTTATTCACATACTTCGTATTTCACAATAGAAATGCACATTATTAATAGGCTAAATGGTCAAATAGGCCCTCAAACTAACTTCAAAAGTTTGATTCACCTCTTATATAAGAGCCTTTGTCCGGCCCATTGTCAATTGGGGCGATTTCCAATAAAATTTTATAATGAAATTTGTTAAACATCTTTTTCATTAAGTTTAGTTTACCCTTACAAAATTTTAGATAACAATTCAATCGAGAATGCAGTCAAATGAATTTTTGAATATAATTGCACAGTTAAACAGTGCAATACATTTCAGAAATCATTTGACTGTCTTCCTGGTTGAATTTTTATCTGAAATTTGGTAAGAGTAAAATAGACTTAAGGAAGAAGATGCTCAGAAAATTTCATAAAAAAATTCCACCGGGAACCATCCCAATTGGCGGCGGCCAGATAGAGCCTCCTTAAGGGGTGAATTGAACTTTATAAATTAGTTCGAGAGCCTATTTGACCCTTTAGCCTTATGAATATTATTTGGTTAGGTTTAGTTAAGTTATAAATGTACAAGTATATATAAAAATAAGATCAATTTAAATTATGTGCGTGCAAAGGTATAATTGTAGATAAAATTACCTAAATAGAAGTCAAAACTAAATTACAAAATTCAGTGAATTTTCTATCCTTTTATTCTTTTAATTGGATTTATAGACTTAATCTTATTGTCGATTTTTTCATATGTATAACTCCCATTTTGAGCAACTTCTTGTACAGTTTTAAGTTATATATAAGGGTTGGGGTTGAGGGGGACAATCGTAGTTAAAACAAAATCATTGTAGAAGTTCATTATTATAATTTTTGTATATGCTACCAGATTGTATACAAAATGAATCATTAAAATAGTTCACTTTAGCAAAATGTGTCACTGCCCAAGGATGTTTTCTCAAAAAAAATATTTTGAAAAATATAGTTTTTGTATATGCTGCCAGGTAGTATACAAAATGAATCATTAAAATAGTACCCAAAATGTTTTTGGGAGGGCCAATTATATTTTTCTCATATATAAAATGAAAAAGATATTTTTCTTAGTGGTCACTCCCCCTGGGTCTCTACTACGATCTGCCCATGTTTGACAGTCTCTTTCGTATCATTAAGAAAGATTGTGACTCTTTATTTATACTGGAAGGAGATAATAGATTAGGAATTAAATGTTTTCTAGCAGGCTTAACGAGGACAATCAGTTTGTTAAGGATTAGTACAGCAAAAGAAGCATCTATAGCATTCAAACATGACTCATGAGAGGATATTTCATGAAAAAGATTTGATTAGGGACTTCTACCATCACAATGTTTCTATTTTTGAAACATTGTTTCAAGCTGACATCAAACACTCTCTACCTCTTTTGAGAAATCTCGGGTGTTGAACTATGTAGAGGACTTTAGTAGTTCCGAGGCTTCTCCCAAATTCGAGTTCGTTTTAGTCAACATTAAGGATTATTTTAAAACTACTATGATTAATGATGTGGATTCGCTTTCTCGCTTTTTAATTAAAGATTTGAAAACCGGATAAAACTCCTATTGTGACAATGAAAGATGCAAATCCAAAGATGATTTTTTCGGGAGATGATGTTGTGGGTAATCAATGCCCGGCCTGTAGCCCTTGTTAGTGAGGATGTCTTTGAAAAACAAATTTTCACATACTCAGGAGATGCATTTTTTGGCCATGCTTCAGAGAGTGAGAAGAGGGATCTTATTTCATCGCATGAGGATCTTTGGGACTCTGACACAAATTAAGATATTTGTTAAAAGCTCGGTTTGTTACGCAAGAAAATTGCTTGCCAACACAGACAGAGGCGTCTTTGAGGGGAGTTCACCCAGGCAAATGCCTTGGGCCTCACTTGTCAATGGGGCCTCAAAAAAATTAGTAGTGTTACTGATATGCACTAGTTTGTAGTGCATAAATGTATGTTTTTATATTTATTCTGTGTGGATTTGTTTACCGTTTTTAGTTAGTTTTTAAGCAATCATCTTCATTTGTTTGTAATTGATTTTAATCATTTTTTAAGTTGTAAAGTAGTAGTAGAGTTTTTGGCAAGGAAAAGAAGTGAAAAGAAGAAGAAAAATATCCAGGTGCACAGACCCGGCCGGGTCAGGCACTTCACCCGGTCGGGTCTGATTTAACAGATGCAGATACTCAGGAAATTACATCACCCGGTCGGGTGAGGTATTTCACCCGGTCGGGTCCGACTTGACCCGTAACACCAGAACGTGCCGAAGATCGCCAGAACGTGTAGGATATTTGATTTTGACATGCACCCGGTCGGGTGAACACTTTACCCGGTCGGGTACCCGGCCAAAGGTGTTGAAAAACACCTATAAATAGCCTCATTTTCCTTCACAAAGAATGACTCCTTCTTCCATACTCTTAAGCTCAGTTTAGAATAGCATTTCTTTTATATTTTTATAGTATGTTTAGTCTCCAAATGAGGAGCTAAACTTCCATTTCTTGGTGTTGCTCTTGAAGCTTGTTGATTATTAAAGTTGTGAGTTATTTTCTTATCTTCTTCCCTTGAATATTAATTATTCTCTTAATCTATCTATATATTAATGTTGGGGAGTGTTGCTAAGATGACAATTAGTTAACATCTCGACATTAATTATGGTAGTATTTATTTTCTTCCTCTATATATTAATGTTGGGGAGTGTTGCTAAGATGACAATTAGATAACATCCTGACATTAGTTATAGTAGGATTATTCATATTTAATCTTCTTCCTTGAATATTAATTCTTCCCTTAATCTATCTCTATATTAATGTTGGAGAGTGTTGCTAAGATGACAATTAGTTAACATCTCGACATTAATTACTACTAGAAACGATCAACGAACCGATGGTTAATCGTTGATGGCTTCACAAGTAAGTAACTTCGGTTTATTAATGCACGGTCGTGATTAATAAACTTAAGAGGGATTAATTTTGTTGGTTAAACCGAAACCGTTGTGTTGAGGTTATCAATCTCAATTGATTTCATCAAGGAGTTAAGAGATTAAATGCTACTATTAAGTCGGTATATGGCGGTGTTCTATACTTGACTAATAGTAAGGGTTATTAATGAACGGTCGTTGTTAATAACTACCCTCGATGAATTGGATATACTCCTCGATTGAGTATTCGAGAGGGAATAAGCTATAGATATAACAATGATCGACTAAAATATATCAACAAGTGGAAAGTAGCAATGCCAAGTCCTTTTTATCTTTGAATTAAATCACATATAAGTTGTTCATCTTTGTGTTTAATCAAATTAAATCACTCAATCCTAAAACCCCCCTTTTATTTACTAGTTTTATAAAAAGAGATTTATTTCCTTTCCCTGTGGATACGAACTCTACTACGCTATACTACGTATAAGTGTTAGTATTGAATTTATTTTGACGCACCGTGACAAAGTGCCCGTCAGTTACTATTAGTCTAATATAATGTAAAATAATTCTAGTAATTAATTAGTTATAGTCTGCCGGAGTTTTACTGGAGCAACATAATCGACGAGTCTCAATGACCTCCAAGCGACCAATCATCTGCCATTCTACCGAAGTATCCCTGGTCGTCCCCTATGCCGCCGAACTTCCAAACTGCGAATAACTGAAGAAGGCGAATGGCGACTGGAATTGGAAAGCAGCGAAGAACTATCTGGCTATCTCATCTGAGTCTTTCTGTCTTTGTCTTTCTCGATTTCAGATTTCTCTAAATCTCTAATTTAGTAATTTGTTTTCTACATTGAAATGGGACTTGAGTGTACGGTGGGGCGATGGGCGGTGGTACATAGCTTGTTTTCAAATTTCAATGTGCTAAATTGAAATTGAAATACAGAGCTTTTTTTTAAATTGAAATACATTTAAGTGTTAACATGTATGGTGGGCGGTGGTATTGAGCATGAAATTGAATTATTGCATCATGTTGTATGGGTATTTCACCCGTATTTGGTATATGAGAAAGTAATTGGGACTTGGGTGATGGGCATTATTAGTATATGAGATGAATAAGATAAAATTGAAAAGTAGTTATTTTGTTTAACTTTTTAGTTTTTATTATATTTAAAAGATTTAGAAGTTTTAGGTTTTCTGTTAGTTAATTTGTTTGTGATTGTTATTACTTTGTATTATAAATATTGTCATCAGGGTCGTCTTTAGTATGATGGGAAAGCGCAAATTTGACTCGAGATGTACAAAGAGAAAGAATAAGTTGAGGAGATATTTAGTTATACAATCGTTTTCCGGGTCGATGGTTCTGTATGTAAAGACGAATCCTTCTTCCACAAATATTGTTGAATACATTTTGAACATGATTTTTTGCCCCGTAAGTTAGGTTATACTTACGAATATTAAAAGTGTTATATCGTACATTCATTCAAAACAAAAAATATTATATCGTACATTCTGAATATGTTCTTTTCCATATGGTTTTTTTATTCTATTTATTTCTTTTCAATATGATATTTGGACCATAATATTTTTCCCTATCTAGGGCCTCCAAAATGCTAAAGACACCCCTGAACACAGAGTTTGAATACTCAAATGAAACTCTACAACAAAAGGCATTGACGATCACTCATGAGGACTAGATCCCAATTACGTATGGATCTTAGAAGACTTGATTGAGCTCTTCAAATACTATACGGAAAGACTTATTATTGTACTATGGGATGGTCTGGTTTGTTTGTTTCTTTTGTATACTCTCATTTTTTTAATTTGGTTTTATGTTTCTCTCCTGATGTACTTTTTGTTACTATTTCCTTCATAAAAT